TAAAAAAACTATTTCCGAACGAAACCAAAAGGGAAGAAGCCCAATGCTTCCCGTAGTGGCGATAGCACCTCAATACGCGTCCTTCTTCCTTGCCTTTTTTATATTGAAAAGATTGTACCGAGGATCATCTGCTGTGGTGGCGAACCTTCGCGGCCTCTTGCCGCTCACGGGAGCTCAAGAAGGAATTTTCAATGGCGTTTACACCCATTTTCTCATCCACCACGCGAGCGTTCACCCGCCCTTGACGTTCCTTCTTGACGTAATAGCTATCCTTCAACAACTCGTCAATCTCGGCCTGCCGCCACGCGCGGCTGCGCTCCGACTGGGTCATTTTAACCCGTTTTAACGCCTCGAGCCTTTCATTTCGCTCGACTTTGTGATGCTTCCCGGGAGGGCTGCTCGAATCATCCTCGGCCCCGGTTTCATTTTCGTGTTGGGTGCGTTGTTCGAGCTCGCGCTGCCGTTTTTCACGCACTTTGTCCGATAGCGCCTTGACGAAGCTGTCGAACTCGGGCTGGAGTGGGATCTTCAGCATCCGCATCCGTTTGATCTCCCCGCAGTTCGGCACCTTGAAAATGCCGAACCCGTGCGTGAGATCGGTGAGATCGATCATCTGAAGCTGAAAGATATGGCGGCATTCGTGCTCTTTGTAGGCTCGAATAAACGAAACGAAGGCTCGGGTGGCTAAGTTCAAGAGCTTTTCATTACTACAAGCCGCACGGCGCAGCGCTAGGACCGACGGGCTCTCGCATAAATCGCCCAAGACTTCTTTTCGATCGGCCCGCGCTCGTGCGGCCCCGGCGGCTTTGCTAAGATGCTCCTCGTGGAGTTTCGCCCGCCGCTCGCGCCGCGTGAGCTGCTTTTGGCGGTGGGATTGGTGAATCATCTTTCGCTTATCCACCGGCTGGGCGCTAAACAACGTCCGGCGCGCGTTGAGCTGGTCGATCCGCTCCCGCGCGGCCTCGAGCGAGTCCCGCGCCTCGTCGAGCGGCAGAAGCGGGACGTTTTGAAGGCCCATGAAGCCGACGTAGTCCAGCTCATGCGGCAGGAGCAGCACCAGGCTGCGGCCCTGCCGCCCCATCCGCGCGGTCCGGCCGATGCGGTGGATAAACGTGTGCGGATCCACTGGGGGGTCGAACTGCACGACGACCCCGACCTCCGGGATGTCGAGCCCGCGGGCGGCCACGTCGGTCACGACGAGCACGCACCGCGCGGCGCGCATGACGGCGCGCTGGACCTTCTGCCGCCGCGCCAGGCGCATTTGGCCGTGCAGGGCGAAGACCCGCGCGGCGTCGTCCGCCAAAAGAACGCCGCTCAGGGCCTCGTAAAGCCAGTCCACCCCGGCGCAGGTCATGGTGTAGACCACCACCTTCGCCTCGCGATGCGCGGCGAGGAACTCCAGCAGCCGGTCCAACTTCTCCGAGGCCGGGCTGAAGGCGTAGAAATTCCGCAGCCGGTCGGGGATCTGCGGCTTCGACCGGTCCACCTCGCCGCCCCCCGCGGAGTGCAGCCGGACGGTGATCGAAATCGCATTCCGCATCCCCACCCGGGCGATCGCCGCCAATTCTTTCGTTTGCGTGGCGCTGAACATCCCCGTCCGGCGTTGTTTGGGGAGCCGCTTGAGCAGCGCGTCGAGCTTCGCTTTAAAGCCGAACTCCAGCAGCCGGTCCGCCTCGTCCAGGACGAGCAGCTCGAAGGCCGCGCAGTCAAACATCCCGGCGTAGGCGGAGGACACCAAAAGCTCGTACAACCGGCCCGGGGTCCCGATCAAAACATTCCCCCCTTCCCGCTCGAAGTCCCCGACGTCGAGTTTGACATCGCGGCCGCCGATATAGCAGCGGTAGGAATAATCCGGCAGGCTCACCGGGGGGTCCGGCTTGTACTCCCGCGTGAGGTAGCGTAGGATGGTTTTGGTGATGTGGAAGACCTGCTGGGCGAGCTCGCGGGAGGGGAGCACCACCATCGCGATCACGGCATTCCGCCGGCTCCGGCAGACCGCCTGGCAGGCCGGCCGAAGAAGCATCTCCACGCAGGGGATTAAATAGGCCAGCGTCTTCCCGCTCCCGGTCACCGCCTCCACCACAACGTCGTAGTTCGACAGAAGTAAAGGTACGACCCGGGCCTGGACGGGCGCCATCGTGGCGAAGTGAAGGCAGTCCTGCAGAACACTCAACGTCGGTTTGCTCAGAGTGGCCCCTTTGAGGCTCGCCCATTCATTCGCCGAGGCCGCCATGCCGCACACAAGAAATGGGGAAGCTAAACCTTAGATTCCCCCCTTTTATTATTTAGTTTTGGTCTAAACTTCCCTTTTGTTCTCGAGGACCCACTCAAGAGTTTGTTTTGTTGGGGTTGGTTTCGCTCTTTCTTTCGCTATCAAAGGTGGAGGAGAAGGAGGGAGTTCGATCGCGAAAGTTCGGAAATGAAAAGTTGTGCCATCGGGGATATGCCTGAAGAGGTTAACGGGGAGGACGGCTCGAGGTTCATCGCATCCACATTTCACACCCTACAATCACGGAAACAGCAGAAAATATACAAATTATTCGAATAGGCAAATTACTGCTATTTGTAAAATAATAATAAAGCAAACCAATTATCCTTAAAATGGATCAATTGATATAGAGTCCGTTAAAAGTTGTAAAAAGGCTACCAAAATGGGCAACATTCCCCGATATAGGTTCAAATGTTTACTTAATCCACACCAGCATGTCCCCTCCTCCCTCCCCTCCTTCTCCTTGGATGTGAGAATTTAAGAAGCAGCTTGCGCATTGTCCTACTATTCTTCTATTAAATAAAATTTACCCCTTTACCTTTCTCTACATCATTGACAAAGTCTAAAATAGTCCGAAAATAGCCATCGCATAGAAACAGGTCGTTATGGCTTCCTTCCTGGAAGGTGACTAAACGTCGAAGCGGATTATCCTTGTGATTTCGCCCGCATGCGGCCTGGTATAGCCGCCTCATCTGCTCGGGTGGGACGAGCTCGTCCTTAAGGCCAGAGAGAAACAACATTGGGATGGAAATGCTCTGGAGAGTGGCGATGTTTTTCCATTTCAAATGAAGGGTGAGAGGAAATAAATAGTACACCAGAAAGAGCATCGCGTAGCCGGGGAATGGAATGGAGAGCTGACGAATCACCGAGGAGGCTAAAATGCCGGCCATATCACTAATCGACGTGAAGGTGTTTTCGATCACGACGCCGGAAATATGGCGCGCGGCGCGTGGTTTGACCACCAAATGAAGGGCAACCGCGGCCCCCAGGCTGGTGCCCATGACGTAAATTTTATCTTGTGGAAGCCGTTCGTCGTGTTTGATGAAATCCAAACACGCCTGCGCGTCCATCTCAAGCCCTTTCTGCGTGATCGCGGTGGTAGAGCTCAACCCAAAGCCCCTGTAATCTATCATCAACACCGCACACCCTAGGGTGGACAGGAACGATTTGGCGACAACAAGCCGATGCCCCACATTCCCCGCGTTTCCATGAAAATAAAGAAGAACAAACGATGGCTTTGCGTTCACGACGTCGTGGGCGAGGGGCGGCGTCCCTTCCCCATCGAAAACTTTACCATTTCCGGAAGAAAACGACGGGGATCGGGATTGTGGCCACATCAGGTAGCCTTTTAACATTTGTCCGTCTGATGTCGAGATTGAAACAAACTCAAAATTTGTAATTCCTACATCAACCGGTGAGGCACACGTATTCCTGCTATTCGGAGGGTCATTTGGAAAGTACAGAAAGGAGCCCTGTTCTTTCCGGAAGATCATACCAATGGCCCATAGAAAGAACGAAGCCAGCAAAAGGATCACCATCATCCAGGTGATAAATACAACGAAAGTGCTCATAAATGGCATATCCTAACGATTAGGTGGGGTAATGGTAAATAAAAATACCACTAGAACACAAACTCTGGTGTAAAGTCAAATCCTAATATAAGACTAAAGACCTATGTGGTACATTAAACTGCTTGTAAAGCCTTTCACACACACAAAAAAAATTATATTGGAATAAAACAAAAGAAAGGAAATCTACAGTATGGTAAAAATGCCATTCATACCATGGCAGGAAAACAGACAAAAAGCTACGTCAAGCTTGTTCAAATCCTCGATTTTTACGTGTCAAATATACAATTGCCTGTAATAACAAATGGTATCAGGTTTGTTTTCTTCTTAAACCTGCTTGAAAACACATACTCACTTTTAATTGTTGCATATCTGATAATATGCAGTATGTAAACAGTATAAATAAAAAAATGAGTACATTACAGTATGAAAAGTGATGCCATGTGTACTAATATTAAAAAAAACTGGCAGAAATAATCAAAAACACGATTTTTTATATGCTATAAAGATTAACATGAACAAAAGAAACATTACAAAATATATAGGAAAGTTGAGTTTATGACAAAAATTCAACCAACAAATCTCTTTTACTCGTTGTTGGTGATTAATGATAACTAGAGAAGCCTCAGTGAATGAAGTTGTATTGAAAGCAACCGTAGTGAAGCAACAGCAGTTGCGCTGACTTATTGAAGTAATATCATTTTTTCCCCATAAAAAGTTCTAGAAAGGTATAAAATACATATTTTGAGTAATTCCAGGGAAAAAAAATAATCACTTAACAAGAGAAATTACATTCAAAGAAATTCAAGGATGAATAGCGAAGTAAATAAAATTAG